CACAATGAACAACTAAGGGAATATGTATTAAAATTTAAGATGTTGCAGGTTTGTTGAATTACTAGTTTGTGGTGCTTGTGTTTTTATAACCTGCTTACAACACAATTAAATTGCACAGGTGTGTCACTTTGCAATAACCCGTTGAGCTGTGCACTGTGATTTATACAGTTTCCTGTATGTCAGATCCACTCCCAATAAAATTGTATTACATACATAACATATAATAGCTGCACTGCTTTATGACAGCAGGGTGCCTCTTAGTTTTGTAGTGAGAAACATGCAGACGACGCAGCACATGCACAGAGCTCTGGCTTGTTCACAGCTGTAAGTAGCAGAATCCTGGGCAGCTCATTTCTCTCTGTCTCTTTACATTGTTCTTCTGAGCCATTGGTGGGGAAAGGAGACCAAAGAGATAGTCTGTGACTTGTTGAATGGACATAGTTTTTAAGGAGTAAAAGTTCTGAAGGTTTAAAAAAATCACCTTTCGTTGTAAGTGGAACATCTCAGTAGGTGGAAATTAGCAACCGTTTATTAGTGTTAAAACAGGAAGTTTGATGATTCTGCCAGGCGTTTTTGGTAGCATAAACAAATTTCTTTTCAAATGGAAGTTTCTATAACTTGGCTGTTTACAATATCTGGTTTTGAAAAGGGCCTTGGTCCATATTGCTTGCCCAGGATCTTAGCTAAACAGAACAGGGGTCCCAGTTATGACTGTTGAACAAATCCTGATTCCATTTTCCAGGAGTCAGGAATGTGCTTGAACACTGTGAGGTTTGGGGGAGACAAGTCAGAGGACCTCTGTTAAAAAACAAGAGGGGCCCCGCCGCTGTGGCTCAGTGCTTGAGCATTGACCCCTGAACCCGGAGGTCCCGCTCAGGGCACTGCCTGGGTTTCGGGCTCCATCCCCAGTAGGGAGCATGGGTGTGCAGGAGGCAGCCAATCAATGATTCTCTCTCATCATTGATGTTTCTCTCTCTCCCTCTCCCTACCTCTCTGAAATCAATAAAAATATATATTTTTAAAAAGAAGACAGGAGGGAAAGACAAGTATCACATGATCTCACTCATATGTGGAATCTAATGAACAAAATAAACTAATGAACGAAATAGAACCAGAGACATGGAAGCATGCAACAGACTGATGTATTTCAGGGGGGAGGGGGCAGAGATTAACCAGAGAACTTATATGCATATATGCATAACCCATGGACACAGACAGTAGAGTGGTGAAGGCCTAGGGAGCAGGGGTTGGGGGGACAGGGTGGAAGGGATCAATGGGGGTGAGGGGGCATCTGTAATACTTTCAACAATAAAGATAAATTTTAAAAAATATAAGAGGGCGGAAGGTAAGAGCACAATGGGCTCAGAAGTAGAAAGTGGAGGTCTGAGGCAGGACAGTGCGCAGGCCTGGCCAGAATTGGCCCTGGGCATGTCCCTTTCCCTTCCCACCACACAGATCTAGCGCAGCAGGCTCGCAGGGCGCAGGGCGTGCTGAGCGGGGAGGTGCTGTGCAGAGGCCTGGGACAAGGGCTCCGCATCCTGCTCTGCCTGTGGGCGCCACCTGCCCGGGCTGCTTGCCTCAGCTCCTGAGCTGGCGTTCTCATCCGTAGGATGGGGATATGCTAGTCCCCACCTGTTATGCTGGTGAGGCTTGAGCAGTCGTAGATGACAAGTATGCGGCTCAGGGCGGAGCACCAGGTGAGCGTGTAAACATGCCGGTCTGTCATCGTCTCCAGCAGAGAACGGGCCCGCTCTCGGGCTCCGTCAGCTGCCCTCCCCTCCGTGTTACCGTCGGGTGTTCGTCCCCACAGGCATCTGTCTCTAACGGGCCGGTCCCCCCTGTAGGTGCGGACACAGTTAGTGTCTCGAGCCCAGAGCTGTATGTGACGAAGCTC